CCCGGATGGAGGGCGGGAATGCAGAGCCGGCCCTTCCCCTGGTGGCCCCTGACCCGTGCCGCTCCCTTCCAGGACCTGGATTACCTGTCTGAGGGCCTCGAAGGCCGGTGCCAGAGCCCTGTAGCCCTGCTCTTTGACGCCCTCCTGCGCCCAGACACAGACTTTGGGGGGAACACGGAGTCCGTCCTCACCTGGAAGCTCCAGAAGGAGCGAGCCATCCCCCACGTGGTCCTGGGCCGGAACCTGCCTGGGGGAGCCTGGCATGTAAGTGGGACCAGGAGGGTGCGAGGCGATTTGGGGTGAATCTACCGAAGTCTTGGGGAGACTCCCTCCCTAAGTCAGGGTTAGGACTGTTCCATTTCCCAGCTTTCCTATTAGCTTCCCCCTCCTCCCCCTCCTCCCCTCCCCCTCCCTCTCCTCCCTCTCCTCCCCCTCTCCCACTTCCCTTTCCCAGTGAGCTCAGGCCCCATGTCCTCCAGCCCAAGTGGGTTGGGGGCTAGCAGAGGTCTGGACCAAAGGACCCTTTTTTCCACACAGTCCATTGAAGGCTCCATGGTGACCCTGAGCCAAGGCCAGTGGATGGGGCTCCCGGACCTGGAAGTCAAGGACTGGATGCGCAGGAAGCGCAGGTGAGGCAGCCCTGGAAGCCCATGTGGGCAGGGAGACCCAGGCCCGCCCCCCACACCAGCCCAGGAGCCTGAGCTAAAGGGGCTCCAAGGATCCTCTCGTCTTCCTCCAGGGGCTTGGGGGGGAGACCGAGGCGCCGATGGGAAGGGACTTGTGTAGGATCCACAGGCCGCGGTCTGCAGCGCTGGGTTCATCCCAGGCCTCCTTGTCCAGTGCTCCCTCCCCCTCTCCCATGACCCCCTGACTTTGGCCTTCCTATAGCATCCCAGTCTCCAAGGAGACAGCCCCCCACGCCCTGGCCCCCACCCTCCCCAATCCTCAGGCCTCCCTGCTGCCCCTCCCACAGTTCTGAGCCTGGCCTGGAACAATCTCCTTGCTTCTAGGTCAGCTAAAAGGCTGCACTCCTTTATTTATTACTAGAGGCCCGGTGCATGTATTCATGCACTGGTGGGGTCCCTCGGCCTGGCCAGCAATTGAGGCTGTTTGGGGTGGGCCGATGAGGGGTTGGGGGTGGGGGTGGGACCATGGGAGGTTGGCTGTGGGAGCGCACTGACCATGAGGGGGGCAGCTCCTGCATTGAGTGTCTGCCCCCTGGTGGTCAGTGCACATCATAGCAACCAGTCAGCCAGTTGGTTGTTTGGTCATTCTGTCCCTTAGGCTTTTATATATATAGATTTTTTTTTTAATGCTCTTGTATTAGAAGCACAACCACACTACAGAAAACTGAAAACAGAAAGGAACAACAAGTCACCCAACCCCATACTTCTGTCCATTGCTGCCACATCTCAGCATATTTTCCTCCCATCTTGTTTCCTCTCCTAAAGCCCAGACTGCACACCTCTGACCGCCCTGGAGAAAGTTAAATCACTGAGTAAATGCATTCCTGGGGCGGGAGGCATAGGGCTGCCCAGCGGTCCAGGCAGAGGATCCCCCGCTGTGAGGTGTCTGCCTGCTTTCCTCCACCCTCAGGGGCTGTGACAGGGCACACGTCACTCCCACCCAGCAGGCACCCAGCCTTCCAGGATTCATCTGGTAGGAAAACATCTAACACACAGTGATGTTTTAACAGACAGGAACTTAAATTTCACTTGTAGGCATTTCCTTTTATATCCCACTTGCAAAATTTAACATTGTGTGATAGCATCTCAAGTGGTGATCACAGTACTTGCAGCCATCCTTTTACATGGCCACGTAATATTCCCCAGGGAGTGGAAGCATCTACGTGCAGGGCTTTGTGCTTAGATGGCTGAGCCAAAAAAAGCAGGCAGATGCCCTCCCTGCCCTCAGGGCTGCCCCATTCCTAAGCCACTGACCAGTCATGGAGCTTTCATTCCTTCGAATGTGCCATTTCTATAAGGAACACCGAGGTAACATCGTCTGAGGACAGTGCTTTGAACCAGAGAAAGGGAGTAAGGAACCCCAGGTGTAAATCCCAGAGTTCCAGTTTTAGTAGCAGACTAGGAGGCGGGTGGCTGGAGTGGCCTTGGGGGATGTGCTGCCTGTCACTCGGGACTCCTGCTGAGTGAGTTCATCTCTCACAGTGAGTCCACAGGTGGGGAAAGTGACCCCCTGAGGGCTCGCAGGTAGAAACAAGGAGGCGCTGAGAGGAGCCACAGCTCCCCACCGGCCACACTGGCCTGTGGCCCTTGCCCCAGAAGAGGTGGTGACAGTGATGATGGTGGCGTAATAATCACTAGTCCCTGCTGGGGACTAGGCCAAGTGCTTTACAGGGGTTATTTTTTAAGTCACCTTGTTTACTGAAATATATATACATATAGAAACGTGCACAACCCACATGTGTACACATGTGTACAGGCGGATGGAATTTCCCAGTGGACACACCTGCGTCCAGCCACCCATACTCAGGAAATAGATCCCTTCTCCCCAGAACCCCCTCAGACCTCTCCCAATACCCCCTAGCTCCCCGCCCCGAGGCAACCACTGTGTTGACCTGTAACTCCACAGATTAGTTGTGGCTGTTTCTGAACTTTATAAAAATGGAATCCTACCACACGTGTGTATGGTATTACTTAGTCCTTAGAGGTAATAATAGTGGCCGACCCTCATGTGGCACTTACTGCCTGTCAGGTTCTCTTCTAAGCTCTTCGTTTGTATCATCATGTAATCCTCTCAACAATGGCACGAAATAGGTCACCCTCATTTTGCAATGAGGAAACTGAGGCCGAGAGTTTGAGGAAGTAGCTCACCAGTGGCAGGTCAGGGTGCGGACCCAGGCCATCTGCCCTGAGAGGCCACACTCAGCCCCACCCTAATAAGGTGCTCTATCGGCTCCATTTTACAGAAGAGGAGACTGAGGCTACAGAGAGACGAAGCCCCTTGGCCAAGCCTTAAGGCTGGTGGGTGGCACAGCCGTAGTCAGCTCCAGGGCCTGATGCCAACCCCGTCCCACCTGATCGAGCCCCGACCCCAGTGCCCTCTCTGTCACTCACCCTTCCGTGTCCTTCCCCGCAGAGGTCTCCGTAACAGCCGCGCCACAGCCGGGGACATCGCTCACTACTACAGGGACTACGTGAACAAGAAGGGTCTGGCCCAAAGCTTTGTGTCCGGCGCCGTGGTCACGGCTGTGGAGTGGGGGATCCCCGAGCCCAGTGGTTCTGGGGCCCAAGACCCCAGCCCCCTCTTCCAGGTGAGCGGCTTCCTGACCGCCGAGGACCAGAGCCAGCAGCCCTTCTCCCTGTGCGCCCACAACGTGGTCCTGGCCACAGGCACGTCGGACAGTCCGGCCCGGCTGGGCATCCCCGGGGAGACCCTGCCCTTCGTCCACCATGAGCTGTCGGCCCTGGAGGTGGCCATCAGGGCGGGCACAGTGACCCCAGACTCGGACCCGGTCCTCATCATCGGCGCTGGGCTGTCGGCGGCCGACGCGGTGCTCTATGCTCGCCACTACAACATCCCCGTGATCCACGCCTTCCGCCGGCCTGTGGACGACCCGGGCCTGGTCTTCAACCAGCTGCCCAAGATGCTGTACCCGGAGTACCACAAGGTGCACCAGATGATGCGCGAGCAGTCCATCCTGTCGCCCAGCCCCTACGAGGGCTACCGCAGCCTCCCCGAGCACCAGCTGCTGCTCTTCAAGGAGGACCGCCAGGCGCTGTTCCAGGACCCCCAGGGCCTCCACAAGGTCTTCGGCCTCTCCCTGGTGCTGGTCCTCATCGGCTCCCACCCCGACCTCTCCTTCCTCCCGGGGGCAGGCGCCCACCTCGCCGTGGACCCTGACCAGCCTCTGAGCGCCAAGAGGAACCCCATCGACGTGGAGCCCTTCACCTACCAGAGCACACAGCGGGAGGGCCTGTACGCTGTGGGGCCGCTGGCCGGGGACAACTTTGTGCGGTTTGTGCAGGGCGGGGCCCTGGCCGTGGCCAGCTCCCTGCTGAGAAAGGAGGCCAGGAAACCGCCTTAGCACTGGCCGGGCATCCTCACACCCAGGCCCTAAAGAGGAGGGGAGATCACCACAGCCCTGCTGGACACAGACGCCCCGTGAGGGAAGGGGCCTCTCCCGGCAGGAGACAGGAGTAGCCATGAGCTCATGCAACAGGCTCCTCAGATGAAGAGTGGGGAACCCAGGCTACAGACTCAGACCAGAGCTCAGGGCCGGAACTATGGCCCAGACCTGCAACTTGGGGTGAAAGGTGCCAGTGTGAGCGGGGACCATCGGGGTCTGACTCCAGACTCGCTCCTTCCAAAATCAGGTCCCAAATAAAACCAGCACCTGCCTCTACTCGTGGGTCTGAGACGTCTGTGCTTGGGGAAGAGCGTGGTGCCCAGGAGCCTGCTCTAAGCTGGGGCAAGCATAGGGCCATATGGGAGGAGGCCCTTGCACTGGGGGTTGGGGGACAAGGATGGTGCCCCGAGTGTGGCAGATGTGACGGCAGTGTGTTAGAGAGGGGAGGGGAGGGTGTGTGTGAGGAATGGGGTGCAGCACATGGTTGCCCTTCAGTCAGTCCCTCATGCTCACCATGCCTTCACCTGCCACAGGGCCTTTGCACAGGCAGGCCTCCAGCCCACTTTCTCCTCCTTTCTTGAACCCTCCCTCTTCTTTCCACTCCCTCAGCATGAGAATCACCTCCTCTTGGAAGCACTTTCTGACACAAACCCCTCCATGGGCACCAGGGAAATTACCAGCTCACGGTCCAAGGTCCCACCACTTCCTAGCAGTTCCGTTTTAATGGTTCATTGGTGGAATCTGTCCCCCATCTGTCTGCCCAGTCCGCTGTAAGCTCCAGGAGGCCAAGACTCCCATCCCTTTTGCCCATTGTTGGGACCCAGGGCCTAGCACGTAGCTTTGGAATATGAGGGGAAGAGGGTGTTCTGGGAAAAGACTGGCTCTGGGAGGAGAGGTCTGAGGGAGCCTCATGCCCCCAGGAGGGAAGGGGGTGCCCCGAAGTGGCAGTGGCGGTGGAAGCCCAGGGAGTGGGCGCCGAGTCCGGCAGCTGGAGCCAGCAGAGGGCGCTCGGGTCTCGTCGGACACCACGCTCCGGCCCCTGCGGCGGCGCCCAGAGGGGCGAGTAGGGGGCCATGGGGGGGGGTTTAGAAAATGCAGCGGGGAGACTTTGGGGGGGGGAGGAAACCCCCCGCCACCCAGACCCCCCCACCAACCCCCGCGAATTGCCGGGGAGGCCCCCCTTCCCCTGG